GAAGGGCCTTGCTCAGGGGCCCAACGGAGTAGGATTCCTCTGCCGGCCGCGGGATTTGAACCTGCAACCTTCCAGTCAGAGACGGATCCACCACACCAACCCCGGAGCGGAGACATGCCCCTTCCCCTGCACCCACAAACCCAGCAGGATGACTGGCCACTGGAGAGCAAGGCAGACTCTACCCCAAGAGGGGCAGGACACCACCCTCCTCTGCCCCAGGAGCACTGGTAACCCCTGTTCTGCACCATGGGCGAGTGGAGCATATCCACTGTCACCCCAGACTCAGCCCTGGCCCTGGAGAGTCACGGACACCAGCACGACGCTCCCAAGGGGACACAGCGGGGTGGGGAACGAGACCCCCAGGGGAGACCGGGGCTCAGACAGACGAGACGGACTCAGCAGCTCAAGCTCAACTCTTTATTGCAGAGGAAGGTCACACAGCCTCTCCGAGGGCAGACGAGGACCAGCAGAGAGGGGGGCCGTCGCAGCCCCTCACCGCTCCTCTTCCTCACTGGGCAGGATGAAGGGGCCGTGCCGGACGATCAGGTGGTGCTCATCCCTCCTGGCTGGAAGGGGCTTTCCCTCCCGGGCTGAGGGGACCGAGAGTCAGACCCCCACCTCCTGCGGGACCCCAACACAGCCCCAGCACCCCGATAACAGGACCCACCTGGAGGACGGGAGCAGGCCTGCTGACACCTCCCATCCCTGGGGGAGCAGATCTCCGTAGAGCACAGGATGAAGATCTGGGGGGGAGAGGGGTACAGTGAGAGAGCCCCACATCACTGCCGCTGGCCCAGCTCCCCCAGCGGGGCTCCGTCCACCCCCCTCACCTCAGCACCCCGGAAACGTGCCCCCCAGCGGAGCTGCTGGGCCTGGACAGCGAAGTGGTGGGCCTGCTTGGCGGGACGCCTGAGGCCGGGCGAGAGGCGCTGGGCACCGGAGCAGCTGCACACACAGAGGGGGTCAGGGCGCGGCCGCACAGACCGGGGTCCCCCACCCCACCCCACCCGGACACCCCCTCACCCGTCGTAGATGAGCACCCAGGCGGCCTGCGCGGATCTGGGGTACGCCACACAGTAGTGCACCAGCAGCACCAGGCTGGGGTCGGGGGGCGACACGAGCCGCACCTCCAGGAACAGGGGGGCCCTCAGGCTGAGGCGCAGGGGCA